CCTCCCGCCCCGTCTCCTGCCGTTCCCCCCCCCCTCAGCTCCCCGCCCCCCCCTCTCCTCCCCCCAGCTCTACCGCCCCCTTTCCCTCCACTTCCCCTTCCGTACAGTTACAATTTACAATACTTTTGAAAAAAAAAATATAAAAATTACAATACTTGTATTGTATTGTATTATTTTGCAAAAGGAATTTTTTCTTTTTTATTTCCTTCGGCGGTTTACTCTGCTGTTCCTCCCGCCCCCCCCGCCTACCCCTGCTCGTAGATTCAGTCCAGACCCCGAGCTCGTTCGTGCGGGCGTCGTTCGCCCGCAGAGCTGCAAGTTGGATTCTGCCACGCAAGCGGCACAACCTTGCCCACAGACGCAAATGGCACTCGCCTGGCCTCGCAGCTTCGGGCGACCCCGGGGCAAGGTCCCACTTGCACGGATTAAGAGATTCTGGACGTTGATCTTTGCTATCTACGATCAGTATCGCTTAATTCGTGTAAGTGGGACCTAACCCCGGACCAGTTCCGGCGAAGCTGGCCAGATCCCCGACGAGCAGCCTCGGACCTACCACCTTCACCAACCAACCACACCGATCACTCATTACTCCTTTTCTTCGGGCAAACATGGCAGAAGGGGTTCTGAAAAAAAAAAAAAAAAAAAAAAAAAGGGGTTCTGGGGACTGCTGCGGACTCTTCACCAATCAATCGGTAGCTTCTACCCCACTCGGGCTCTGCTGTCTTTCTCTGACACTGACACGAGACGGAAAATAAAGAGGAGGAAGAGATGTGTTCCTCGTTGCCCTTTCTCTGCGAGATTCTCTTCCTTTTTTTCTTGCCTCCTTTCACGTTGTTCATCTATCTGTCTGATTCCTTTTCGTTCTGGAGGATTCGAACACATGATTTGTTATATACCGTCTCCTCTGTGATGTGAGGTTTTTGCCGTCCGCTGGCGCCCTACGGTTGTATCTGGTAGCTGGTAGCGGGTTGCGGGTAGCGGGTAGGAATCCGTCCCAAACACAGATCAGACAAGCCAGCCGCGTCGCCCAAACAGGAAGATGGACGCTCCCGCGGTTTATGTCAGTTGCCGCCAGCTCTGCCTGCGCGTACGGAGAGAACTGAGGGCACGCTCTCTCAGGGCGCTCTTTTTTAAGAAAAGATTATCAGGGCGTTCTTTTTTTTTTTTCTTTTTTCTTTTTTTTTTTCGAGAAAGTGTAGAGGCCGGGAATCCTCCACAAACAACCCGGAAAGCGAACATGGAACTGTCCAGGGGAGGGCAGCTGCTGGAAACGAGGTCCAGCGTCCTATTGAGCTCGCACAAGGGGAAACTGTAGGGGAAGACCTCTAGCCTGTCTGCCAGGTTTAGGCTACTTATAGCCTGCTGTATCCTTGCTGGAAACCGGGTCCAGCGTCCCAATATCTACAATTCTCATGCCAAAGAACTTAAAAATGGACCAAGAAGCAACCAGGAAGAAAGGATGAAATCTACTGTAGCTGACTAAGGATAGAGGGGAAACAATCCGCAACTAGATACTGTGTACCCAGCTGCCCCAACCATTCTGCCTAACCAAGGCAGACTGAAGTAACAAACTCAAGACCCAGAACCCATGGTTATCAACCAACGTGGAAACTGAAGTTTCCCTTCCGTAGTAATAGTGGCAAACGTCTTCGTATTGGACCAGGTTTTCTGGAACCAGATCCTGCCTCTTTGCCTCCAATCTGCATAGATTGTCCTTCTCAAGCCCATCTTGAATGAGTTTATAGTTTGACATACATGCTGTGTTTCCCCTTTGAAAACACAGGCATTGTGAGATGCCCATATGCCTTCCATGATTAGGCCGCTGCGGAGATGAAGCCTTGGTGGTTGGTGGCTGTGGGTTTCCACAAGTACCGGCTAGCAACCTTACGGATTTCTGTGTAGCCTCCTCTCCCAGAAGGTGTACACTCAGAGGGAACCATAGGATGGAGAAGGCAGCTGCAGAGAGGACTAATGCTCTCCCGAAGAGTGAGAGCTGGTGGTTACGTACCCAACTAAGTACTCTGGCTGCAACCTTCTCCTGTAGTAGTGCATCTTGGGTCTTTGAACAGTCTGTTCGGGAGACTCGCACCCCCAATAAACGATCGGAGCTGTTTGCTGGAATGTGTTTCCGGCCCCAATCCACGCAAAGAGAGAACTCTGGTGGAAGCAGAAAAACAGACTTTTTCCAGTTAATGGAGGCTTCAGACAAGTCACAATAAGTGTCCAGAACTATTTTTAGTTCTTCCAGAGATTCTTTTTCGTTAACGCAGGCCACTGTGAGATCATCTGCTAATGCTCCCCCTTTCCAATGAATTGATGGGGGGAGGTGGAGACCTGCAATCCGACTGTTGCATCTGATATTATGTTGAAGAACTTCGAGTTGTAACACGAAGAGTAGGGGAGCGAGGGGGCACCCTTGTCTCAGCGAACGTGTGAGAGTAAATTCTTTTCAGAGTTTTCCATTTACCATTACAACTGAGGACGCTCCCAAATACATAGCATTTACCCATGAGCAGAAACCCTTGCCGAATCCCATGTGAGATAGAGTGGTGAATACGAAAGACCAACCCACTTTGTCATACGCCTTTTCCATATCAAGGAGAAGGATTGCGACATTCTTTTGATCGGTGCCAATGATCTCTAGGGCGTCAATGGTGGTCATGATGTTGTCGAAGATTGTTCTACCTTTGACAAAGGCCCCTTGCTCAGGGCCAACCAGGCTTGGGAGGAAGGTGGAGAGGCGAATGGCTAGTGCCTTTGCCAGAATTTTGTAGGTGACATTAAGGACTGAGATTGGCCTGTAGTTGCGCACCTCTTTTTTATCCCCCTTCTTGTAAAGGAGGGATATAACTCCGGTAAGCCAGCGTTTGGGGAGGGAGCCAGATGTTAGTGTTGAGTTGAAGATTTGGCATAGGAAGGGGTCAAAGGCATCCCAAGTGCTCAAAAACAGTTCTACTGGGAGCCCATCCAACCCTGGGCACTTACCTGTGGCCATTTGCTTGGCTGCTGATCAGAGTTCATGTGATGAGAAGAGTCTGTCTAGTTCTTCGATTGCCAATCTTGGCAGCCTAGCATCTAGGTCGACCCAAAAGTTTGATCTTTCGGTTAAGTCAGTGACAGTGGAATCGTATGGTCTTCTTGTTGACACACTGTCTTGGAAATATTCCTTGGCATAGTTGCACATCGTGGATGTATCATTGGTTGTTTCCATCTCCAGGCTAAAGGAGTGGGATAATTCCCTTAACACCGGCTTCGTCTGTTTAAGGATTAGGGATCTGAAGGTGATTTTTGTCATTCTGTCATAGCCAATAAGACCTCTTAGTTTAAGTCATTCTAACCATCCGGCTTGGCGTTGTGATTCTAATTGATCAAGCAGGGCCAGATTTTTGTTGCGTATCTCTGACCAATAGTAATCAGTAAACGGGTCGAAACCCATTTTACTTTCCGCTTCCTCTATTGCCTTTATTGTGCATTTTTCTTTCCAATTCATGTTTGCTTCTTTCATTCTCGAGAAGGTTTCGAGGGCGGATGTGATAATCGTCAATCCAACCTCTTCCCAGGAGTGCTCATGATCAAAGAGATCTTTTGCTGAGCTCCAAGCTTTCATTTGGGAGTCCATCCAGTCTGTGATCCCTTTGTCCTTCATCAGGTTAACGTTTAGTTTGAATGGGGGGCGGACTTTGTCAAAAACATCTTTGACTATAACATCCATGCAGACAGGGTAGTGGTCCAATATGGACGCCACCATGAAGTCACACCACATACACCTGTCCCAGACTGCTCCCCTTGATAGGAAGAAATCCAGTCTTTTCCTAGGTTGAGGGGCTTTTGGGGTGGGTCTGGGTGCGTACCAAGTGAATCCCGGACTATCTGGGTTCAGGGTTTTATATATGTCGACCAAACTTTGCGATTCTAGGAAAGAAGACAACATGACCATATCAGACCTCAGGGTGGTGGGATGTAGAGAATCTAGGCCCGGGTTGAATATGGTATTCCAATCTTCTGCGATGATTAGGTTCTCTACATCAGGGACGCAGGCTGGAAGGTTGACTATGAAGTTTGTTCGGTCCGAATAAACGACCGGGGCATAAACAGACATCACCGCCCAGTCTTCATCTGCCAAAGCAAATTTGACCCAAATCCATCTACCTTTTGTATCAGGGAAGTGGTCAATAATGTCAACATCCAGATCTTAATTAAAGAGTATTGT